AGTTTCTATCTCTTCTACATCTATCATGATGCTGCCTAATGGTCAATGGTAGTTAACTTTGTTTTCTTGACATTGAGATGCAATCCATACTGAAGGCTGTATTCCTTGATCTGCAGCAACTGCTTTAAAGTCCTCCTCACTTTCAGCAACCAAGGTTGTGTCATATGCATATTGCAGTTTACTGATGAATCTTCCTCCAATCCTGATGTCACATTCTTCTTTGTAGAGTCAAGCTTCCCAAATAATTTGCTCAGCATACAGATTCAACAGGAATGAAGAGAGAATACAACCCTGACATACTCTCGTCTTAATTTTAAATCATGCAATGTTCCCTGCTCTGTTCACACAACAGCCTCCTGGTCCAGGTATAAATTTCACATGACCACAACTAAGTGCTCTGGGATTCCCATTCTTTTCTGTCAGCCACTATTTTTTAGATCTGCATAGTCAAATGCCTTCGCATAATTAAAAAAAAACAACGCAAATATCTTCTGATATTTTTTACTTTCAGCCAGGATCCATCTGACATCAGCAATAATATCCCTGGTGCCTTGCCCTCTTCTAAATCTTGCTTGAACTTCTTGCAGTTCCCTATCTATGTACTGTTCTAGCCATTTTTTAATAATCTTCAGTATTACTTTGCTTGCATGTGATATTAATTGGAAGTCATAACTTGGCCAGCGGAGGACTATGGGTTAGACAATCAATAATTCATATGCAAGTTCAAATTGAGGATGAAGAAAACTAAAAGAAGTCCACAGGAACCAAGATGTGATCTTGAATTTATTCCATCTGTATTTTAAGATCATCTTAGGAATAGGCTTGAGGCATTGAACACCAATGACTGAAGACTGGATGAGATGTGAAAAGGTATCAAGTGTATCGTCTATGAAAAAAGCAATAAGTCATTACAAAAACAGAGGAGAAATTACTGAAATAGATGTCAGAAGAGACTCTAAAAATTGCACTGGAGCATTGAGAAGCCAAAATAAAGGGGAAACAGGCCGAAGTTAAAAAGCTGAACAGAATATTTCAAAAGGCAGCTCGAGAGGACAAAGTAAAGTTTTATGATAGAATTTGCAAAGAGCTGGAATTGGAGAATAAAAAGGGAAGAACTCACTCTGCATTTCTCAAACTAAAGGAACTGAAAAACAATTTTAAGCCTCCTGGACTAATATTGAAAGATGCTATGGGCAATATATTGAATTACCCAGAAAGTATCAAAAGAAGATGAAGTGAATACACAGAGTCACTGTCCCCGAAAGAATTAATTGACACTGAAAATTTTCAGGGAGAACTATATATACAGGAGCCAAGAGTAATGAAGGAGGAAGTGGAAGCTGCATTGAGGGCACTGGCAAAAAAAAAAAGAAAAGAAAAGAAAAGGGTCCAGGAATCAATGGGATACCAACTGACTTGTTTCAATTAACAGATTCAACCTTGGATGCAATCATCAGTCTATGCCGGGAAATTTAAAGGACAGCTGTCTTGCCAACAGACTGGAAAAGATCCATGATTGCTACTATTCCCAAGAAAGGTAATCCAACAGATGTGGAAACCATGAGACAATGTCATTAATACCACATGCAAGCAAAATACTGCTGAAGAACATTAAAAAATTATTAGAACAGCTATAGTTGTTGTTGATTGTCTTCAAGACAAGCATGACTCATAGCAACCCTATAAACAACAGGCCTGAAGCCACGCTACAACTATTGACATTTATCAAGGTTCATAAAGTTTCAGGACTCATGTTATTTAAGAAGTTGGTGCCACTCCTGATTCCAAATCTGTCATAGTATATTATTGTTTTTATATGCCATTGAGTTGCCTGCGATGTATAGCGACCCCTATGTACAGCAGTTCTGAACCCTTCCCTGTCCTGAGCCAGTCTCACTAACTCTGACACACCAACCCCTATCGCCCCAGTTACTGTATCAATCCATCTCATCCGGGGTCTCCCTCCCTTGCGCTGTCCATCCACCCTTCTGGGCATGACGACCTTTTCCAAGGACCGATCTCTCCTGGCCATGTGCCCAATGTAAGTGAGGTGGAGTTGCAAAATCTTAGCCTCCAAGGAAAGTCTTGGTTTCATGCTCTCCAAGACAGACCTATTTGTTTTCTTGGCAGTCCATGGTATGCTCAAGACTATTTTCCAGCAGCACAACTTGAAAAGAAAAATTGCATTGGAAAAATCTGCTGTCATGGACCTCTCCAGAGTGCTGAAGAGCAACAATGTCAGTCTAGATTTAAAGGTGCACCTAATTCAGGCTATGGTGTTCTCAATTAGCTGTTATGCTTCAGAGCTGGAAAATGACTAAGGATGACAGAAGAATAGATGCCTTTGAGTTGTGGTGCTGGAGAAGAGTCTTGAATGCTATAGTAGGTGGCTCAAATATTTCTGATTGACTAATTCAAAGAGTTGACATCAGAAAATATAGAAAACTTATACTGGAATAACTCAAGAGTATTTTTGTTTGTTATTTTCATGAAAATTCTAATTCATTTTCTATTTAAACCCTACAAAAGCTAGTGGTAAGGAGTTGTTGTTGTTGTTGTTGTTGTTATGTGCCATCAAGTCACTTGCAACTCATAGCTACCTTATGTACAACAGCCCTAAACTCTGTTCTGTCCTGTGCCAATCTCATTGTCTCCGACATACATGCGTCAGCACAAACCTCATGGCACCTGACAACAACAACAAGAACCATCTAGAATTTATAGTAACAAAAAGTTTTCATATGAAATCAAATAAAGCAAGTAGGTCTAATTCCAGGCTAGAGTCATCATTTGATAATTTGTTGTTGCTGTTATGTGCCGTCAAGTCTCTTGCGACTCATAGTGGCCCTA